TCTTTATCATAAGGGCAAAATGATCCTTCGACATGGATCTAAAAGAGGAGATACTGCATCGAGTCACGCGATTTTAAGCCATATTTTAATGTCACAATAATTTCATCGATGATATAATCATATCACGAAATATTAACTTTGATCAATTGTGCTAATTGATAATGTAAAGGTATATATACATAGCTTTGATTGTATAAATATACGATATATAATATTGAAGTATAATATAAAGATGGAAATAATTTAGCATATTTATCATTGTAATATCTTTATATATTTATTATTTTGGACATTTAAATAATAACGCGCATCATATCCTATATATAAATTGTGTAATAATATATTCACAAAATACAAGAAACAGATTTCTTTGTGGTTGATATTTTCATTATGAAAGGATGCTCCTTCTCAGTTTTCTCAGAGACAATCTGTGAAAACCGCGCGACACGTAAGATGGAAACAGAGTACATTATTGGAAGGCGGACTATCCGGAACTTTGTGAAATTTCACACAAAGTATCCTCTACTTTCTTTCGACAATAATTCTAATTCGCTCGTTATTTACCGTGGAACTTCTACAACTGCACTTCGAGTAATAACCGCGATTACTCGAAAACTTGGGTGCTTTCTGGTCTCGCTCAGAATCCTTCTTAAGGAGATCCTTTCTAAAAAAACATTCTCTGGGACTGCTGGAGCGCAATGTGACTTTCGTCAAGTGCCAATCTACACGAGCTTTGTGAAAGTACTTTTTACCGTATATCTATCTTTTATGTTTTCACTTTTTTGTGTCTCTTTCCTTTTTATAAAAAATTTATATTGGTATTAAGAGATACACTAATAGTTTTTTAAATGTTCTTTGAGAATAAATAAATAACAGAAAATCTCGCAAATTTTATATATAAAATAGAATGGCGAAAAAAATACCGAAAAAAGGTGATTTAAATAGCTACGTAGGATTTAATGGTTTGATATAAATAACTAAGCTGATAGCTCTGCTCTTACTATTTTCGCGGTGACTGCGTTCATATTGCTCTTCTGGCATAACAACGAGCTACCTGAAGATATTTCACTAGAAAGGAAACGAGGAAACGTAGGTTGTGGAAGGTTGGTTTATATAAACTACCGACAGGAATCCAGTTGTGTATTCAGATTCCGCGGATTTGTTTTCCATTGCCTGTCAGAATTCAGAAAGCTATATCATTCTTTTTGCGGGAGATGTACAAGGCGCTTTGAAATGTGTATGACAACTTTCTATTATTTTGTTACTAAAATAAATTTAATTCCATTTTCATTTATAATAAAATTTAGCCTTGCTTTTGATATACATACGCACACATATGTACTCGTATCTGTGCGTCTAATTAACACATATACAGACTATTTTATCTTTATTGCATTAAATTTTTAGGTCATATTCTGTAGTTCTTTTTTCTTACTAATATTTACTAGGTATCATATATTGTAATTAAGTGCCGAAACAAAATGATAAAGTTCTCATAAATAGGTACTTTAGGTTTTATAACTTGATTTTACTTGTTTTTATCGAGTTTAGTTCGCTTAGCCTAGTTAGTAAAAAAAGTGTAAATGAAGTGTTCGCAAATGAATGAGTATATGATACTCAGACTTTTATATATTATATTTATTTTTATTAATATTTTTTTTTTTTAATATATAAAAGTCTGTGGATATTCCAATCTCGTCAATCGCGCTTGCGAAAAGAATACAGTGGAAAAGAAAAGCCGGAATAGTAAAGTTGAATTATCGTGAAGTTTTTCCTTTAATCTCTCTAACCAATATCTCTCTTGCCAGTTTTCATAAAACTCCTTTAATATCAGAGTGAGTAGTTTCGACTGCTAAATAAAATCTTTTATGGACTTGCGACATTGCTATGTTATAAATCAAAAACTTGAAATTTCTTGTTGTGTTGACAATTTTTCGAGAATTGCTTTCTCATAGTTTTTCATCGGGGACAAACTATCATCCTAAAACAGATTGAGCTACATACTGACTCTTCTAACACGAGAATCTTTCTACCTAAGTACTTTTCGAAAGTTTCGATATAATTAAGATAAAATTTCAGAATATATTTTTGATCTGTATGAGATTTAAAGATTCGTAAAATAATATAAGTTATATGGCATAAATCGTTGTATTATTTTTTCAAAAATATAAATTTGAGTTTTTCTTGAGAATTTATAAATTTAATTTAAAATACAGTTACTTGACGATGTATTATAAAAATATAAAATTTAGCAATTGTGTCTTTTATATTAAATAAATGTTATTGCAAATAGAAAAATATCTGCGTATGCTGAAATAGAAGAAAAGAAACTAGCGATGATATTTTCAGCAGCAAATTTACCATTCAGAAATCGCTTATGATCGGTCGCAATGTGCTGTCAACATCGTGATTCCTTATCGGTATGCGGGTTTTCTGTTTGCCAATCGTGCTACGTTTCCCAAGTTTGTCATTGGAAGAGAATCAGGTATTATAGCGATCGATTTGAACTTGTCGAGACAAATTTCTGATAAGTAAACTCGACGAAATTGATATCGATAAAATAGTGATTAATTTAATTGTATTATTACTTCTTTCTAGAAAATAATGCAATAATTTCTCTTTTAAAATATGAAAAATTTCATAAAATTTATGTATATTATAATAATTTTTCCACGATAGATGGGATATCTATTTTATATTTGCGAATGAAACCGATTATTCAATTTCGAAGCTTCATATTAAATGTTCGCGATTAAAAGCATTCGGTTATTATTTATGACTGGTCATTTGTATTCGCAGGATGACTGATTGAAAGAAAATAAGAGATGCGATATTAATTCCGAGTAATTGCTTTATTCTTCGTGATCAACAGAGATTTGATTTCATCTGGTTTCTATATCTGACATATCTCTCTTGACGACACATATAATTTGTTAACATTAGTACGCTCCACAAAACTTTAAAATATTAACATTGTATTATTCAAATTCTTTTCGATAGAATTTTATAAAATTATATTTTAATTTAAATTTACGTTATTTTATTTTTTTCTATTTTTTTATTACATCATTTTATCATATAATTATGTATATATTATGCCGCAAATATGCGAAATACACTATCGCGATTTCTATGTCAAAATCTCTTAGGAAACTTATCATATTGGTGCGGAATTTCGTCGATTCTCTCTTTTTGAGAGCGAGAACTTATCTACCTACCTATCTATCTCTCTAGTCAAAGCGTGCTCGAATGACGCGCGAATCGCTTGGAAGATCGCTGGCAGTGTTGTTCCTATCGCTGGTTGATGCTGCTGTTGGGCGAATGGTATAAACGCCGACACGTCACGTCGCCGGAAACTAGGTTCTATCGATTTCGTATCAGTTCCTGGCATCACTTCCGGGATACAGCTGTACTCGTACGTGCGCGCTTGTATGCACGCACGTATGTATCGTCGTGCTATGCCACAGACGTGCACCTATCGTACGTGTTCATACGAGGGCATATATCATACGAAGACTGCACATTCTCTCTCTCTCTCTCTCTCTCTCTACAAGAGAGAAGGCGATAAAGCAAAGTGGAGAGGGAGTAATAGCGAGAGGGTAATGGTGAGACTCTACCTTCGACTTCGGGCACCCTAAAGCCACCCTAACGTCGTGTCGTCTACAATTCAGCTGTGAGTTTGGTGCTCAACTATTGTCCTCGGTTGAATTATGTAGGTCGTTTCAGATCAATCTTACATCTCTCCTCGCAAATTATTGAATTATAAAAGAATCATAGATTATAAGTAATAAAGCAAATATTGAGAATGAAAAGGAGCATAACTTTTAAGATAAATAGACTTTCGTATCTTTTTAAACAATTAAATCTTAAGTTATTGTAATCTGTGAGTATATACGATAAAATACATTGCTTTTTAATTAACGTCAACTTTCACGATATTGCATTCTGAGAAAAATTTATTTTGAGACTTAATTAAATAAATATTAATAAAAAAAAAAAAAAAAACGGAAAGCTGCGTAAAACGTTATAATTGTCTGATTTTTCTAAAAAAAGAATCGATCTCTTAGATTATGTTATAACAAAAATATCGGGATAAAGAAAAGATCTTATTATTCTCGAGAACAAGAGTAGAAGAAAGATGCGGAGGGGCTTTAGACAGTCGCGTAAACCTTCTCACGTATGTGGCGCGAGCTATTAAATTGAAGATTTCATCGAAAGCGCTCGTAATCAGTAAGCAAGCATGGAATCGTAAGATAGACTTACCTGAGCCGAAGGAAAATCAGACTTGCCCGTCCATTATCGGGCTCGGTGTCTCGTGAAACCGATTCGAATCGGCGCTCGTTACGCCGCCCTCGGAACGAACGGACACTCGACCCCATTGAAAGGATCTCGAGAGCGTCCTTTCAGACCAGCGATCCTTAATTAATCTGGAAATCGAATCTAGGAGAGGAAGGAGAGAGTCGCAAAGTCGGTGTGCCGATAGATCGGATTGAGGGGTGAGGGCGGTGGTGAATCCGTTTGGTGAATCCGAGACGGTTTATGTGACCGTCCTCTCTTTTGACGGTTTTCTCCAAAGATCACCCTCTCACTAATTTCTTCTTTTATTGTTTACCCCATCTCGACTTAACTTCCCTTTCGCGTCTCGAACTGCTCTTATCTCGCCGGCCTTTATTACTTACACAAATTATGTATCGGATCGTGATAGCTTTTTTCTTCTTTGTACAAACTTCAGCAAAGGAAACGATCGAATTACGAGGATAACCAAATTGCTCTTGCAGTAATTATTGACTTGTTCCTTGATACGACAGCGATTGCAACTCCTATTAATCGTGATTGTGATAAATATAATATGTTTTAATTTTATGCTTTAATAAAAATCAATATGCTACACTTTTTATCTATAAATGACAAATTAAATGTAATTTAATATTTAATATTTGATAAAATTATTGCGTTGAAGAGGATATTCTGGTTCGCGAAAGATATACCAAACAAATTGATTAAATCATCGTTTTATTACCGTAATCGTTTCGATAATAATGACTTGGTTCATGTAAAAGTGGCAATGGAACAAAAGCGTCATATTTCTTACTTCATACATAGAACCTCGCACACGTCATTGAGGAAGATCGGATGTGGGGAATATAGTCAAATTAACCACACATTACTTATACTATACGTCAACGTCGACGTCGCGTCGAGCCGTACTTAAGATTATACGATTGGCGCGCGCGTGTACACATTTATATTTATATTTATTAAACTATATACTTCTGGTCTGGATGTGTGAATGATAGATATCTCTCGGAGATGCGGCTTTTCAGCTGCATAATTTTTTCCCCTCGAAAAATTGCGCTCGCCTTTTCTCGCGCGCGTGTCTCGTGCGAATCCCGATACATCTCATATTACTTTCATCGTGTTCTCTCGTCATCGTTCAGTCTCCCGTCCAGTTAATTATACACGATAATTTGTAATGCTAATCCACAATTATACACTATGTACAACATCGGGCGTCCGCGTTTCGACCTACTTTACGTAGTGTTGTATTACTATCGTCATGTCTCTCTCCGAGTTATCCGCTATATACGAGATATACGGGGTGTTCTAACACTGTGTATACATGCGATTGAACGTGTACAGGATGCGCGAAGATTCGGGGCATCGAAATGTGTATCGACACACTTGGTGCGTCACGCCCTAAGATTACATACATACATCCGCGATCGTCGATTAACACATAGGGAGAAATCGACAACGATATACAACACCTTCCGCAATCGCGTGAACAGATATGTACTAATTAACACGAATTTAATAAAGATATTGCCGTCATCGGTTTATCTTGTTGTCGATCAAAAACTAGCGCCCGGATCGACATTAAACGCATAGAAATCTGAGACTGTTGCAACGGATTATGTGAATCGCGACTATTATCCAGCAAATCAGAACCGTATGAAACATTCCGACATTCAACCTTGAAACCCCACTTGAGACCCCCGATTTAGGGGGTTCTTGGGCAAGACGTTGGTTACTGGCGGCAAGAGTCGCGATCTCGATACTTTGGGAGACCAGGCCGACTCCTGGTAGTGTCGATCGACAGGTCACTGTTAGCCTGCCCTCGGAAAAATGATTCCGTTCCAGACGCAACGTTAGGCCCAACCGTGTCGTGGAGACCACACTTCCGTCTATGTTGTTAACCGGCAAGTCTTTGTTTAAAGCTTTGTTTACCTGTTGAAGCAATCAAAGTTTGAATTAAAAAATATATGTTATTTGAAGTCGACATCTTCAATAACTTTAATGAAGTAACAGGCTATAACGTTGATGCAAATACTCGCAACATTGAAAGTTAAATAAAAGATACAAAGAAGGATTTAATTTAATTTCTGATTTCAAATTAATTGCAGAATCCTGAAAGAGAAATAGCAAAAGTTATAGAACGCCGTATATATTAATTTTTTCAAGCTTTCGTGTTTTTATTGCGCAAGGATATTTTTGTTAGTATTGCAATTCCGATGCGTTTTCGCGAGTTTATTCTCGAGGAGTTAATTTGCGACTCGTAGCTTTGTATTTGTTGAGAACGTAAATGTGTGTAGCCAGTCGGCCAAGCGAAATAAAAACGTCCACGCAAAGTGGCTCGACTTGACAAATTGTCGTTAAATAAACCGAGTATCTTCCCGCGAATGACATGCACAGAGCGTAGCATTGAATAATGGAAGTTATGTGGTTCTCTAGTTTGCCGTGCTTGCGTAACAGCCGCGGAAACGAGCTTTTTGAAGATTAATTACGCTTCACCATTCATTATAAAATTTTCCTTTATTTCATATCGGTCAATTGTACCAGAGAAATTCTAAAATTACCAGATGACATTTCAGAGATGAATTTTTTTTTCTCCAATTTGCAATAGATATCTGCTCAAGAAAAATGTTGAGACATTAATTTTTGTGTTATAAACTATATTGAAAATCGAAGGATATTTAATTAGAAATCTGCATACTCAATTGATAATTGTAAGTAAAAAATTAATCTCTATTTGATATAAACAATCCGCAAGTGAACAAAAAAGTAAAAATACAACGCCTTCTTCGAATTCATGCGATCACTCAAAAGTTTAACTGGCGGAACGCACGCGGACGCTCATCGACTTACCTCTTTACCGTTCAAGATGAACGTTAAAACTGCCGGAGGGTAACTCAATCCCGACGTGCACTCCGCTTCAAGGATGTCACCGATCTTGTAAGAAGGTCGTATCCCGTCAAGTGTCGGGGCATCTTTGGGTGGTATAGCCACGCTCATGTTCGCCTCCATGTAGTCTGTTTCGAAAATCGGCCCTTCCGATGATACTTCGCAACCATAAGATCCCGCCAAGTTGATTTCACCTTCGTTATCAAGTCAGAAAAAAGATTATATATAAATTAAAAATTTGAAAAAAAAATATTCTCTCTCTCTCTTTCTCTTTTTTCTTATAAAAATATTTTGAAGGTCGTATAAGAGTGTGACGATAAAATAAAATGATTTTGAGAAACGAATTCAATTTTAATTCTTTGATCTTGTGACTTGAATATTTCTCTCCGATAATAATAATTTAATAATTTTCTATAAAAAAGCAACTAAAGTTACGTAAGAGACTCATGGATGCGACGTTTTGTAATTCGTGCTTAAATTAATATTGCGCACCTTTATGAATGCTCGGACTCAGAAGTGTCACTTGCTTGCTGTCACTATGACTAAGGTCGATGTACAGATCGGTAATATTCTGAGGTCGCTTAGGCTTCAATGCTCCCGGCATATATTTAAATATCTCCTGACCGTCTTTATTCCACGTCACCGAATACAGCTCCTTACCGCCGAGATCGTATTCGCATCTGAGCGACACTTTCTCCAACCTTGGATCGGCGATGCTGGGTACATCCAATCTGAGTATCTTCAGCGTGGTACCTATGTGACAACAAAAAGCGCAAACAATTCGTTTATTTCCTTTTTCTAATGATGTACTATCGATTTAACTTATAATTAGATTTAAGACGATATTAAATTAAATTAGCTATGAAATTGACTTAAATAAATATATATATGAACGTAAGCAAATTTTTTGCTAATAGAATTTAGTAATTAGATTAATATTAAGTGAGATAATGATGTAAATCTTTTTTTGTTTATTTCTTAATTTTTTCTTATACTAACAATAAGAGAAATAATACTTGGTTCACATTTATGCTATGTGATGTAACTGTAAAACAATTTCAATGATTTAATTAGTTAATAATTTTAAAAACTGACGCTGGAAATTCGAAAGATTTTGCGAAAATACAGTTATCAGTAGAAAATTTTAGCCGCGCGATAAAAATCCCAGGAGGAGAAATGGCTTCGTAATGATCGACGTGTGCTTTATTTATCGCGCATCCGCAGCACAATCGGGACAAATACAACGTGATAATTAAAAATTTTCTATCGACCGAACGCAGTCGAGTCCTCCGAAGTGGACTAGCTTTAAAACGGAAATTAAATATTATCGCGAGAGCTTCTTCAGTAAAATTCATCTGTATTTTTTTCCGTCGATAATAGATACAAAATTTGTAATGATTGCAAAAGAATTTTGAACATTACCTTAAAAAAACACTAGAAAAAGAATTACAACTATACTATAATATTTTAGAATAGGCAATATAAACAACAATTTTATTATTAATATCATAAAATGTAGAAAAATGTTTTATTTTAGGTATTAGGTGTTTGTATATCTGTACAGCTTTATTTTAAAACATTATAGTATATTGGCAAAATATTGGAGAACAATTAGAAAAATAAAATCAGTTGTTAATTAATTTTTATTTTTTCATATATCTTTTAACATATACATAACGTTTATTGATTTATTTTGGCACACAACTATACTATAATATATTTTAGAATAGGCAATATATACAGCAATTTTATTATCAATACCATAAAATGTAGAAAAATGTTTTATTTTAGGCATTAGGTGTTTGTATATCTGTACAGCTTTATTTTAAAACATTATAGTATATTGGCAAAATATTGGAGAACAATTAGAAAAATAAAATCAGTTGTTAGTTAATTTTTATTTTTTTATATATCTCTTAACATAGCGTTTATTGATTTATTTTGACACACAAAATCCAGTTTTACAATGTGTCGATATTTTATGTCACTTTAAATATTGCCACGTATTTTTTTGTTAAACAAGCTATAAAATCAACATGTCGAAAATCTTATGAGTAATGCTTTACATTTTAATAAATGTATATCCAGTTCCCATTCTTTTCCTCTTTTTACTGTTATCTCTTTAGTAGCTTTTACTAATATACGTAAACGTAAAAGTTCTGTTTTTCTATGCGTGTAACTATTTTTTCTTTCAACCGAAAGAGTTTCCGTCTAGTTAGCAAGTTGTTTTGCAGCGGTTTGACCATTCCCTTCGCGGAACAATAACGAGTCTTTTTAAATAATTTGTCGGCTTTTCAGAGCTTTGTGTTGCAGTAAGCAGTAGTTAAGCGAGAATACAATAGACCCCTTTGACCCTGTCCTGTTAGTCTGCAGGATATGCAGGGCCGGTTAGCTACTCTGGTACGGTTGGTTTCGGAGTGCAAACTCCCAGGACGCGAAACCGCGGTTCTCGCGCGTGCCTCTGATACGAAGTACTCACTTTGCATTGAATAAAGTGTACATATTGGGATACGAATGCTTCTGACGTGCTCTACATACTGAAAACATAAATATTGAATAGCGTGTCGAATATACAAACACGCAAAACTGCAAATTGTAAATAATAAATAAAAACAAACACAAATTTAGTGGAATGCATAGATATCTCTCTACAAATATTATTTATATACATCATACATATATATTCCATAAACAATTATCACATAGATATAAATTAAAGCAATCAAAAAATACAATTAGTGAGCGCTAATTTTAGATTAATTGTTTAATTACAGATATGAGACTTGGAAAAAGAAACAATTGCTAATCCAGCATTAGTTAATTTGAATTGTTGGTGGAAACAAGACGAGATATCGTGATCTGGTTAGAAAGCTCGGATTCGCACGTCCCTGAAGGTATGTATCGTGGCGCACAATCAAGCGGTCTATATCCTTTTCCTGGAGTCTTCGTTCCTTGTTTGTGAGCACGGTTGGCTCTTCTCGCGAGCCAATTAAACCGGCAATTAGTTTAATAATTAGCGAATTAATTAATATGCCACGCGACAGGCCGGACGGACCGATTCTGAAGACAATAGGCGAGCGAGCCCATTCTGGGGTCGACGTTCCGTCGAGGGCCGTCGACTCGCGTTCTCTGATTAAAGACTCCCACGCGTATCAGGGAATCCCGAAGGATCAGAGCGGCGGGATTCCTTTGAAGTTCGAGGATTGATTTGCCTTATCGCAGACTCGGATATAGCAAGATACGGGGCTTCCTTATTCGTCGTGTCGCTGATCAAATGTAAAGTCGATGCTTTGAATTTTATTCCGTGCCATAGCGGCAAGACTTTAATCAATTTTATCTCTTTTTTTCTCTATTTTTTTCCGATAATAAATTTATCATTACATTTCAATTATTATTATCACAGATAAATTATTTCGCAACTATTTTACCGTTCTCGTATTAAATTCTGACAACATAACGTGACGATTTTACACTTTTTTATATATTCTTTATGTATTTTACTCGTTTCGAAATTAGACTTGTTTTTAAATATTTTTGAATACAAATGAGGAAAACATTTTAACCTAATTTTATGCAAAAATAAGCATATGTGTGTGTGTGTGTGTGTGTGTGTGTGTATAACATTTTATTCTTTTTTGCTATTTAAATAAATTTCATTAAAAAATGATCTTTATATAATACATCACGATTTTCCAAAGATTGCGCGGAAAAGCTAAAGGCGGCTTCAGAGAGAAGTGGCGTATTTATTATGAATAATTTATGATTTGAAATATCATTTATATATTTTCCGTATGATATTATTTCCCAGTATGCGCCTTCTCGCCCGCAGCTGTGCGGGCTTACAATTCAGGCTTACGAATGCAACAGATTCCGATGCATAGAACGCGACCAAGTTTTCCTTATTCATTGCACGGTTGATCAAATGCAAAGCCAATACTTCGACTTCCATTCCATTCCGTGCGTTTTACACCGTGGCGGTAAAAACTTTCGACGATTCATCGTTCTCCGGTCCTTCGCCCTTCGCGAGTAATAGCGAAAATACGATTCTCGCCATTATTCTGTCTTTTATATTTCACAATAGGTCATCGATAATATTTCACGTAAACCTTTAAAAAAATACATTTCTAAAAGTAACAGTACACAGGGGGGGGGGGGGTAGAACAATAAGAATACATATTTCTCATAATAAAGAGAAGCAGTGTATGAAAATATATATATGTGCAATGTATATTGTGCAATTCTAGTAATGTATATAATATTCTATTAATTGAAATATCGTTTTCACATAGTATCCGTATAACGCCGCAATATTTCAAGGGTCGAAAATAAATAGCTTGGCGCAATAACCGGTGCATTAGTCACGGCGGACGCGTTATTGTTCGTGCCTTTGTGCCTTTCGTTTTTCTCCGCTCGCGGGACGCCGGCTGCATTTCTGGCTGTCGCGAGCAACAGTTTCCGGCGCGCAGTTATATACAAGCTTTCCGATTCGCGCGAGTCGTGCGGTAAACGTGTGACAAACCGTCGCACCCCCGCGCGGCGGTCGGCCGCGCGTTAATCGCGTTATTTGCCCCGCTAATTAAGCGGGCGCGATAAATTTGGCGCGGGGGTCGGCGGGGATTTCGGCGCGTTTATTTGCTCGTTCGCCACGTCGACACGTCGATACGCTTTGCTCGCGACTCTTTTTTGCCGTACCCAGAGAGTGACCCAACGATCGCATTTGTACGTTTGCTCGTTACCTCGCCCTATCTCTGCGTCCCTCTCGTTCTCCTGCAAAAAGAAACAGCGCCATTACACGGTCGAGAGAGTTGGGGGAATAAATTTCTGGTTAAACGAACTTATGTGTGCGTTGCGATTTATGAAAACTCTCCGGAGCGCGCCAGGTTTCGCCCTCGCGGGCTGCAGTAAAACACTCAATTTTGGGAAATTTCTTGCGCGATGTTAACAGCAGGTGCATCCGTTGCGAATTAATTCAAGCTCTCTCGTTTTGTTCAATTTCAAACGATTCGTTTTAATGGGAATTATTTATTTGTGCGAGAAGTGAAATAGCGGTCAATTTTCGAGTCATTCATTCTTTTACACGCACATAATGAAATAATTGATATTATTAAATTCTAAGATATACTACTCTCAGCAATTTAAATCGTTTATTTTAATATGTATATATATATATATATATATATATATATATACATATATACTTTACTCACCTGAATTTTCGGGTTGAGGTCTACTCGAGCATTTGATTTTCATTTAACATTTACAATGCTTTGCACTATTTATGTGGCGTGATTCTTATTAAACTATTACTTTTCTTGCTTGTTCTGTCTTTTCCATTTTTTAATATATATATATATATATATATATATATATATATATATACATATATACATTATCAGTAACATTGATCGATATGAATTAGATACACGAGCTTAAAAAATAGTTTATACTAATACTATATACATTGTTCGATTTAATAGTGAATCAATATAGAAATATATTCAAATTGGGCAGAATGAAAAATTTGCATGATATGAACATGTGGGACGTAAAATAAAACTGTGATACGTGTTATCGTTAATTGTTTGCATTTAATTTCGATTGTTCGTTTATTCATGAAAATCGATCGTTTGTCGCATTTTTAATTAGCGTTACGTACAATCAGTGACTGCGGGGGAAATAATGGCGATATGAAATTTAAAAATAACACGTTTGTAATTACCACGTATTCAATTATTACATCGCAATTAGTAATCCATTTTCAATTTTGTTTTGGATTAAACGTAAGCACATTCAACACTTTCAAATGTAACGATTGTTACTATTTTTTATCAAGTACATTATTTTGACAGAAAGCACGCAATCTTGTTAACATTTTTTTTTTTTTTTACGTTTATTGCTTTTTTATAGACATTTTTATATTACAAATGTATCGTATCAAATTGTGTCGGGCAATATTGTGTGAAGAAGCGAGATTAAAATCCATTTACGATTTTTTTTTTTTTTTACGTTTATTGCTTTTTTATAGACATTTTTATATTACAAATGTATCGTATCAAATTGTGTGAAGAAGCGAGATTAAAATCCATTTACGACATAACACAGACATATACACCGAGGACCAATAATTACGAATGTAGTCCCGTTTCTTGAGACATTAAAACAAATCGTTCTCGCTTCTGCCTGACGCTTCGTGGGTAGATTTTTCTCAAGGGGGTAGAGACGGGAGGGGTAGAGGCTTGATTGATACGAATTGCTCGAAAATTCGAGAACGGTTGTGGGAAGACTGAGTGGACCGTTTTACGAGATGTGGGCGGGTCGGGAAGTCAAATGGTCAGTCGCGCTAGCGCGAGTTCTTCCGCGGCAGAAAAGACGTCCGTCAAGCGTTGCGCTTAAGTAACTCACACACGCACGTCTCATAATGCAAGCAACGTCCCCTTCCGTGTGCACACACGCGTGCAAGGTATTCGAGAGTGCTCCCACGCAGCGCTACCCTCGCGATCAGTTTAGGTCTAGGTAATCTTAAACGTCGGCGCTGCGCTTATCGCTGTACATATTCACTGCACGCCGCGATAAGCGTGTATACTAAAGCTCTCATGCTACGTGCAAAATGAATATCTAAGTGATTATATGAAACATCATGTATTTACACGATATGTCGTATAATAAGCGCACTAATTTCGCCAGATATGTATATATGTATCACATAGATTTAAGAAAAAAAAAGAAATTAAATATTTGACAGAGAGATTGAGGGGAGAATTTAAATATTCTATTTCTTAGGCATTCTTATATTGTCACCCTTTCCATTACTATATGCATTGCGAATACCTTCTTGTTAGGGAAGAAATATATTTTTAATGCACCCTTTCTCTCAATTGGCAATAGAGTTGCGAGCGTTAGAAGAATGCGGATGCAGTTAACATCGTAATAGGGGCAGTTTTAATTGGTATTATTGTTTATTGCTCGCCATCGAGCGTTCTGCGAAGCCAATGCGTATACCTTTCTCCCTGGAATGTAACTCCTCTTATAATAATTGTTGTGTCGCAAGAGCTTAAACGTAATTCACTCGCTGTCTCGCACGCACACGCATTACGCTTCGGATCGTACACGCGCACGCTAGTGGACGTTGTAAACGAAACATGTGCGGCCGCAATTGGCTAAATTAGTGACGACATTGTTCAGTTTACTCTCCGTCTGCAATTGCCTCTTTAATCATCGCAAAGGAACGTTTCTTTACGATACACTCGTTCCATAACTGTCGCCCGGGAGATGGAGAGTCTTATTGATGTTCATCAAAAAGCGTTGCGATTCGAGTGACATTTAAGTATTGTACTGCATCTTCTTTGTGAATGCCTTATTTGCAGTCTTCGAGTGTGCTTCTGGATACAAAAGTTTGAAAGACGTATTATTTACGTAGGTACTTGGCGTTTCATGTAATTTGAAAAGAATTATATAATCCTTCAATTCTTTATAATTGAATTCTTTCCGATGTGATATCCATAAAAGAGAGAGAAAGAAAGAGAGAGAGAGATTTGTAAAAAACTATTTAATTATTATATATTATATATGTATATATTTTTTATATTATATATACTTGTATATAATTAATGATATAAACATATCATAATGCATAGAATTTTTTGTGAACTTTATGTAATCAAATTTGTTTTCATCTCTCGAATTTCTGTAAAGCGATATCTCATGTTTCAGTATTCTGTATGTATATCACATGATCGAATGATTTTGATCGCCCAAAGGTCTTTGGGCAACGTGCCAATTACTTGGTATACATATGTGGAGTCAATGCTCGGGCCAATGTGAAACTGTTTCCCCGTAAAATGAAGTATAACAAGGAGATCGCGGCGAATAGGTAGTTTCTCTTTCTAAGTACTTG